TTCGTGCTAGGGATTGGGGCTTGCAATTATTCCCCATGAATGAGGAATTTCCAGTAAGCGCGAGTCATAAGCTCGCGTTGATTACGCCCTGCCCTTTGTACACACCGCCCGTCGCTACAACCGATTGACCGATTTAGTGAGGTCTTCGGACTGGTGCGCGGCAATGTTTCGGCATTGCCGATGTTGCCGGGAAGATGACCAAACTTGATCATTTAGAGGAAGTAAAAGTCGTAACAAGGTTTCCGTAGGTGAACCTGCGGAAGGATCATTAACATACGCTCGCAAAGAGAATCTTATGCAGCGACTCGTTGTCCGAATAAACAGAAAAAAGGGATTATATAGAGAAAGAAGAAAGATTTAAAAACGTATCAGCGATCACGCACAATACGTCTTTGGGTAACCTTACTGCCACAGGCGCACCGCGAGAGAGAGCAGGCTCCCTTCGGACCCTCGGACTTCCTCGACCCCCGTCGCCCCGTTCACAGCGTGTTGCCGCCCTCTGGGCAAGGTGACACGCGTAACGCGTGTCCGTGACGTGCGTGGTTGGAAAGGTCAGTCCGTCGTCGTCCTTAGTTACGCCGCTCCCCGCAGAGTTGCGGTCCTTGGGCACATTCGAGCGCGGACGTGTACTCTCTCGCCGTTCACACCACTTGTCTTGGGAAACGTTGCGAGCACGATTAATCGCGGATACTGAAGAGAACAGCAGAGACCGACCGGCACATCGCCGAGCAACCCCCGACTCGCCACGAAGAAAACTCTTCCATGCGAGAAGGCGCGAAGTTGTTACGTGCAGCGAGAAACGTTCGGTCTCTCGTCTCCGTTCCGCGTTCAACCGATCGCGCCGGTGGCGTTCCCTTTTTTCATGCTGAGTGTGTTACGCGTTGCGAGGACTCTCGTCGATCGAAAAGGTTTTTCAATGAACTTTCGCCCAATAAGACGATAGTATAAAGAAAAAAGACACACCACGATACGCTCCGCCGTTGCGGATGACTCCCAGGAGCGACGCGACGGCCCGTGGCGGTGCACCATATCCCCGTCTATGCCCGTTAAAGGGCGGCGGCGGCGGCGGTGGACGCGCTCGCCCGGAAAATCGAACGTTGCAAGCGACGACCATTGATATTAAACCTGATTGGTAAAGCGCGCCGCTGTGTTATCGCGCGACCGCGGGAGACACACGGCCGGGGCGCGATGCCAAATCAATGTATAACAAAAAGTATATACACATATATATGATTACCCTGAACGGTGGATCACTTGGCTCGTGGGTCGATGAAGAACGCAGCCAATTGCGCGTCAACTTGTGAACTGCAGGACACATGAACATCGACATTTCGAACGCACATTGCGGTCCACGGATACAATCCCCGGACCACGCCTGGCTGAGGGTCGTTTACACATTACCAGACTGCTTGCTCCTCGCACTCTTTTAAACAAGAGAAATCAGATGGGGAGTAATAGCGAACGATTGGGCGCCTCGTCACGATTCGTCATGGCGTCGCTTGAAATGATGCGAAAGATACACGGAGCGGGCCCCCCTTAACAACGAACGCGGATCGATAATAATAATAATAATAATATTATGGGGAAACCCTTTACGTACGTGTCTCTCTCCATACGTATTAATATTACGTGTGGTTTTTGATACGTCGATCGTGCGTTTCTTATTCCGGTGTTGTTGTTTCGCGTTGGGGTTTTCTTCGGTGTCCGCATAATTAGAAAGCCAACGACGCGAGAAAGCAAAATCCCCAGGCCGGACGCTACACCCAACGACGGTGGAGGAAGCCCTTCGCGTACGTCTCGTCTCATCATGCATATTTTCATATGCGGATGGCTTGACGACGGTCGCGCGCTTCTTCCCGCGTTTTGCGCTGTGTGGGTGTCCTCAGGGTTTTTCGTTTCTGAAGCCTCTTCCCGTTACAATGAAAATATATATCGACGAAGAAAGATTAAGAGAAGAGAATGAAAATAATATTTGATTGGTTTCGTTTGAAGAATGAAATGTATTATAAAAGTCGAAATCCATATAAAACATTTCTCATGTCCCGCCGGGCGCAGAGAGACGCGCGTTAAACGAAGGCCCGCGCACACGCCAGTCTTCCCACATTTTGATGAAAATTGTGAATGAAAAAGAAAGGGAAGATA